ATGACGTCGGCTGGCGGTTGCACTAAAATCACGAATTGATACAAGTTAGAACTTATAGACCACTGGATCTGGTCCCAGTGGCTGAGTCGACTACAAGCTTGCTTTGTCAAAGGAAGAATTTACAATCAAGAGGTTAGAAAAAACATTGAATAACGAAAGGTAAGTTGTATGATACAAAAAACCCAAATAAAAGAAGCAAACAAAAGAATAGGGAATTAAATGAAAATGAATGAAAAGAGGATACTGTGCACCTATCACCTTGTTACAGTCCGCTTCGTTTTCCACACACTCAGAGGTGGAAAGTATGATAAGATGTGAAGCCTCAAGATGACAGATTACACCCTTATTATTACTGCTACCGTTTGAAGTATGAATCAGACCCCAGTGAACCAAAATATTTTGGGAGAAAAAGCCCTAGTGGTGAAGGCTTCAGGTCACTCATTACTGAGTCCTTCACACTACTAAACGGAACAGCAATACACTGATGCTGAGAAAATTTGACGGATTAGCACTTCTTTATCTCAGTCAAAGTAGTTATTTATTTCGCTGTCAGACAATGTGGAAGTCAACACTTGAAGTCGGAATTTTCATCAGGTGTATCAAAACTACTTCAATGAAATATGATAAGCTTTGACATAAATATCCAGAGAATAAAACTTGATAAAGAATTGAGTTGTTGAGTCGTTTTGCTTATATTTTGAGTCCAGTGAATGAGGAAGTTAAGACAGTCTTGTATCGTTCAGTTTCTACTGTTACAGTTTGTCAATTCTTGTGTTTTACCTATTCTTCTTTATTACTCGTCTTTAGTCTTTCCTGAGCTATTTAAGACAGACTCTGTTACACTGCGAAGGGCACCAAAAGGTGTCATTAGGGCGAGTGGGACACTGCCAAACCAAATTGTTAATACTGTTATATACAGACACCTGAACTCATGCAAGAAATTAGCAAATGTTATCTTGTCCGAATCTGGGCTTCTCTATACATCACACTGTTCTTGCACCTCATCAAATATGACTAGAAGTAACTATAGAAGACTATGTACTTGGATGACTAAGTGTAACAACTCTACGATACCTTATTTGGCACAGATTTTATGTGAAGACATGAAACTATTAACTTGACGCGAGACACTAAGTAAAACTGCTCTTTTTATTCTTCATTTCACTATTATATCGTTGTTAATATTTCCGCGTAGATATTAATTTTACATTTATATTCTTATTGACATTATTATCAATGTACATGACCTCTTGAATATCCTTCCCAACCCATATTGTGTAGTTTAAAGAGAAAATTAAATGTAGTAGTGTATTGCATGTTGAAAGTCCTGCATTTGATCAGAAATAGTGCTGGGAATAAAGCTATTCTTCCCTTTGAGTTCCTAGTGGAGCCTAGGGCGATATTGTTTTTTTTATGAGGCGGGGTGTCTAGTCTCATGCCCGAGCTTCTCTTATTGCCGGGCTCACTACGGGTTAGGCAAGATTTAGCAGTACGTAGTCCGAGAATAGAACCCTTGACCACGTATGTGATTGATGAACATTCTACCTTTGAATCACCAACGCAATAGTTTAACACTTTAATTTTCCTGCTTATTATTTTTCACTATGCTAACAGTTTTAGTTTTTATCTTCTTAATTAATTAACTCATTTCTTCCTTCACGTTCCCCAGTGGAATATAGGGCTTCAAGCTAGTGGCTTAAAGTTTCTGTAGCAGTGTTTATTTTACAGGATGGGTTTGCTAGCCTCATGCCCAACCTTTCCTTGATATAAGAATAAAACTTGTGCACTGTGGTAGAGTATAATTCCATTATGGGTAAATTTTTGTTTCGATAAAGTCTCACAGTGTTATACAGTAATGTTTACTGATGACATTTCGAGCACAGTTTATTGCTCATAATCATATCAAGGTGATATTTATGAACGTTGAATTTAAAGGTGATACCGCTGCTGAGATTATGAAGAACCGCTTATGCAGATCACTGAGAAAAGCCTTCCTTTCGACTGAGCTACGGATCAGTTTTTACAGCCAACAAATGAACGATGGATGTATGAAGGATAAACTGCCACTTTGGGCCATTTCACCGTGTAAATATAAATTCACTCGTGCCTTTGGCGCTGGATATATTGGGTGTATAAAGCGCACACTTTCCAAAGGCATCTCCGAACATGGCATGGTTGGCAAAAGGACAATGCAGGACAGTCACTGACTCAGATTTTGAGCACTTGGTGAACTCAGACCACATAGCTCCACCATAGTCGTCTTTCGAGATTATCTACAAGGTGAGGGCAAATGGTAAAAAAAGGAGTCAAGTTTGGCTTTTCTGTATAACGATGGCATTGGCAATTCGTCAATACAACCCCAAACTCTGTAAACAGAAAAAGTTTGTCCAGTCTTTTATTCGACCATGGTCCTAACCTCTTCACAAGTTGTTCCCTGTAAATTTTTTATCAGTTTGCTTTTACTTTAATAATTAATTCACTATTATCAATCTCATATTTTTATTTTTTACGTTTTCTCACCCTCTTCGCAATTGTTGAATGGACACCCAACTACCTTTCTTGTCACTTATTAACAATTTTAACCTTATCAAGTTTCTAACCCTTTCTGCCTTTGTGCCATTGAGTATTATGTAATTAACAACTTTCATTTTTACTTTAGAAGCCACTTCTGAGTAATTATATCACCTCCTACTACTCAATAATGAACCACTCTATACTTTTGGTAATTATAAATAAGACTGTACAGCCTCTGAAGATTATTTCTTCGGTTTTCTTCGAAATTCGCAGAAGTTGAGATATATCTGAGTTATAGGATTCCTGTCCAGTGACAGAATAGTAACGTATCCACTTGTAGCATAAATTGCCAATATTTGATCATCTGTGTCATAAATAAATACTGCCGAAAAATTTCAGAGTATGGCGAAGTGGTTTTCAAATGCTTCCTCGTTTTCCCTAATTCACCATTTGATGCTGTTTCGCAAAAGAAATACACCTTACTTTCCTTTTAGTAAACATGTTATTAATTAATTGCTTTAGATAACTTAACTATGAAGACTAATACAAACTCTATGCCTTTAAAAACAATAAAGGACTTGAATAGCGGACAGTCAAACTCAACATTATTCTAAACAAGACAATGCTGTCTAAGGATTTACTTCTCACTTAACAGTCACTACATATATTTTTTATTTCACTGGTGATTAGTAATAGGTAATCTGTTTCTTGTGCGTTGGTGGAACATCGGGAGACTGCTCGCCGACTACTCATGTGGTTCGGGGTTCGAGCCCCGGCCAGCGCACTCCTTTACCTCACTAAGTCAGTTATAAGACTGGTAAAGAGCGAAGACTGGGCATGAGGCTAGCAACCCCATCCCGTAAAAATAAGCACCACTGCTACCGGAACTTCAAACCTCTTCCTTGAAGCCTTATGTTCCATTGGGAATGTAAAGGAATTAAAAATATCAATTTTTTTTAAAAGGTTTATTTATACGTTTTAAAATTAATGTAGGTTGTCATGACGGGAATCTTCGAAGATATCTCGAAAGGTACTCTTTGGATTCCTAATATATAAGATAATATACTTATACAAAGGATCTTATAGGCATTACCGTCACCCTACATAACACTTTTTTCCCCAATAAATCAATCTATCTTTTCCAATGATTTTGAAACATATTCACAGGATAAATCAGCTCTAACTACTTCGAGTGATTTTTATGCATTAGTTTGCAGGAATTCCATGATTAAATCTGAAACCAATTAAATCCCTACAAACTAACACTTGAAAATTAATTACTAGTGCCCACTAGGGAATTGACTACGGAATCAAGTCGTCTGAAGTTCTAGTAACGAGTCTCAACCAGTGAAGTCTATGAGATTGGGTGTGAAAGCAAAATACTCACCGATGAAATCAGCTGACGGTGGAGTTATATATTACGAACTAATAGGCATTAAAAGTCATTGGTTGGCCACTGGATTCTGTCCCAGTGTCTGAATGCTCTCGCAAATTGAAACTCATAGTTTCACACCGTTAAAGAATCGCCAACAATGGGAAAATAGACATCCAATACTGCTTGGTTTTCAATACACCCTAAATGAATTCTGGTTCATGACGAAATTTAACAACTCAAATTAATTTAAATCGTCACAAGATAACTCCATAATTGAAAGGCATTCTTTATTCATTAGTAAAGATGTAGGGGAAAAACAGGAAAATGAAAACGAATCTTTTTTAAATTTTTTTTTACTTTAGTTGAATGAACAAATGCTTACACGCTTGTATATATATATATATCCAAACATTTACATACATTATTGGTACATATATATTGGAATGCGTACATCATTGTCAAGAAGTTATTTCTTAAGAATATTAGTACTTATAGTAGTAGTAGTTAATACCGTTTAAGTAGTTGACTGTTGGTTGGTGTACACCTCGAGTACAGTGTACATCTATAGATATATGTATATTCATAAAGATTTTTTATTGTTATTGTATATTGTTTTTGTATGTAAATAAAAGGTCATATTACTAAATGTTTATTTTGTATTTTGATATATATATATATATATTACGTATTATGTTATATATGTGGATAATTATGTATTTGCATGTTTGCGCCTGCTATGTCTCGACGACTATTTGTTTGTGTTGCTTTCTGTATTCAGATATATATAATATATATCTATGTAATATCATAAGTATAAGTAGATGGGTTTAAAACTAGGTTGATTTTAAACAAAAGTGCATGTATACAATAAATACCACAGAATAATCAGTCAGCCAGTCAGTCCGTCAGCCAGCCAGCCAGCCAGCCACTCACTCATTCCTTCATTCATTCGTTCTTTCATTAAACAAGATAGTACAGATATGCAATACTACTAATACTTCTAGTCTAGTAATTATTTGTATCACTAACTAAAGTAATACAAAAGACAGAGAGAAAAAATGAAAATGAAAATATTACATTATTATTATTATTATTCAATACAATCAAATTTGGCGCCACCCAGTGTAAATTTAATGTAATATAATCAAGAGACAAGTAAAACAAAACAAAAAAGAATTGAACAATATTTATGATTATTTCATATGTGTGGTACATATATTATATCCATGTTAGTTGTACAAGTGTGTATGTGTGTGTGAGAGAGAGCATAGAGCATGTGAAATATGATTTTTATTCATTTGCCTTTAGATTCATTCAATGAATTTTGAATGTTAAGAATAAATAAAATTGCCTAGGTGACTTCATAAAGGTTAAAGGGGAGTACTCACATTAACTTGAGTGAGATTATTCATCTACCTGTTGAATGACTATATGATGTCAATTTTATTAATTCGAATAGTTTGTTATGACTATTTATTGTGAGTATATAACAAATGCAGAAATGTAATTCGTAATAAATAGTGTATAGTCATTTAACATTGTATCTTCATTGATAGATTTATAAGGGCAGTGTAAGATGAAAAGTTCAACAATTGGATTCCTTTGCATTCATTAATTATTAACCATTTAGGAATTGGTTTCAAGCTATAAATTAAATGTAGAATAAATGAAATTCTATTAATTAAGTTAAATATAAGGAAATTTTAATGTTTGAACAAAATGCATTTAAGAATTAAACTTTTATTGTCAACAGTAACCGCTAGAAACGTACGTTTTTAGTTGCATCAGCATTTTTTAAACCTCCAATAAGTTAACATATGCATGAACAAGGTATTTTTAAAAATTTATTATCGAAGTCAAAGATGAGTTGATATGAAATTAACCCTAAAACTGTTTAACCAATATAAAATTAATAAATGTTTGTTGACTGATCCGGCAAATTTGGTCCTGTGGTGATGATTACAGAATAAATCTTTTCTGAGTAGTTCGTAAACTTCAACGTCGTCAGAAGCAGGCATTACACTATAACAAATTTATGTAATAACTCAACTAATATAAAATTCTCAAGTATTCTTTAACTGGTTGGAGGATTTTATCATCAGCTGACATCAGTTAGAGAACCATTGGAAAACCAGGTGGGAGTACTGGGCAGCTGTTTAGTCTTCCCGTGTGGTTTTCCAATGGTTCTGTAATTGATGTCAGCTCATGATGAAATCCTTCAACTAATGTAATATTCATCATCTCAGGTTTAGTTCCAAGTCTGGTCACTGTTTGATATTATTTAGAGAATCATTGAAAACCAGTAAGAAGTATCGGACAGTTGTTTCATTCTAGTTTGTGACTCTTCATTAATATGCACCCATGATTCCACCGTTTGGGATTGGATTTAGAAAATTCAGCTACAAGGTGAGCTCGTTAATCACTCAGCCACTGGGAAAAAGTCTAACTGACAGCCAATGAATTCTAACTTCCGTATATTGGTGATTTTCACCGGCATCACCAGCGAATGTTATCGGTGAACGTTTATCTTCACACCTGATCTGGTGGACAACTTCTCAGCAGAACTTTAAGAAACTTTATCCCGTAGCTAATCATTTGTGCTTATTTGAATAATTTCCAAGTGTTAGTTTATAGTTTTGCTTTAAAAAATTTCCTATTGTTGGGGTTTTTGTTGCTGTTTAGACTGTATATGCAGTGAAGATCAAATGTACATTTATTCTTCAATGAATTGTACTCAGTATAGAGTGGCAGTCAGTAAGAAACAGTTTATCTACTATGTGGGTAGTATCTTTCGGTAAGAAAACTGTGATAGGTTACAGGATTTCGTCATGAGGTGATATCGGTTAGAGAACCCTTGGAAAACCACCTTGGGGTACAGGACAGCTGTTTCGTCCTAGTTTGGGACTGCATACTGATGAAGAGTCACAAGCTAGAACGAAGCAGCTGTCCAATACTCCCAGGTTTCCGATTGTTCACTAACCGATGTCAGCTCACGATGAAATCCTGGAAGCCAGTCAATCACATCCCTACAAACCAATGCTTGAAATCTGTGATTATTTTTGTCATATAAGTCAGGGAAGTTAAATCGGCTTTAGAAAGTCCTCTTGCATAATGCATGTATGATTTTACCAAGTGAGCACAAACACTGTCACCACATTCCCAGTAGTCAGCTGAAAGAGATTATCAGTGTTGCCGTATGAGTGATTATTGAGGATATTGACTAACAAATACTTGAGATGAATAGTTCTGACATTATTAGTTGCAGACATTCAGATGTTTCTTCAGACGGATATTTAGTTAGACTTCATGAACAGGTTCACCTATTGACTAACACATATTTTAAGGGAAGTATCAGTTAACATTGATTATTCATTAAGTTTTAACCGCTGACACGTTTCTAGTATCTTAATTTTGAATGAATTCTATCACTCGAGTTGCCAATATGGTTACTAATCTAGGTGACTTACCATCCCAGATCTTCAAGGACATTTTACTCCATCAGCATTGCCAATGCGCCTTACTACTTAGTGCAGATAGGGAGAAAATCAAAGTCCACAACTCCCTGCTGGTTGCCACTAACCACTTAACATCAACTGAAGTACTAGATGACTAGTAAATGTTTCCCCCTTGTTTGCTTAATAAATTTTCCACATTTATTCGATAAAGTTGTGAGATTATTTTTATTATCGTATAAAAGGCAAACAGGTTGTGACTGACTGCTGTCACCTTAAACCAAAGTAGACCACGCAAACCCACAGAAATTCTAGCTGCTGGCTACTTCTCTTCCTACACTTATGCTGCTACTATTATTACTAGTCATAATAGTAAAAAACCCTCAGTTTTAAAGTAGAAATGCATAAATGCTTATGAATACTTTGCAGCTTTTCCAAATAATAGACTGTAAGTAATAAATTCTCACTACTGTCACAATTCTGCGTCGGTACTTCAATGGTAGAATGCTCGCCAAACTTGCAAGCGGTCTCAGTTCGATTTTCAGCTGATGTACTTCTAAACCTTGCTTAGCCAACAGTAAGTCCAGTAAACAGTGAAGATTGGGTACGGGGCTAGTAACCTATCCATTAAAAACAACACCAACCATATTGAAATTTCACAGCTCAGGTTTGAACCCCATTGTTCCATGTGGAACGCAAAAGGAATGAAAAAACACACGATAGTATTGCAATTTTTTATGAATCTTACTAGCTACTATTAGATGTTGGATTATTTAGGCCTGAAAACTCAAAACATCAAGAAACTTGGTTTCCATGAGGATTAGTGATTCACTACAACTTACAAATAAGATCTAAGCTAAAGACATTTGGGTGACTGAAAGTTCAATAAAAGTAATCTCTGTTTTACTAATGTTTTAAGAAGAGTAAGTGAAGAATAACATGCTATTCCTTTTTATTTTGAGTCGAATATACGGTCTCAGGCCTTGAGAATTCAGCGGTAGCGATGTTATTTTTATTGGGTATGATTGCTAGCCTCAGAACCAATCTTTCCTCTCAAATGGCCTTACTACCGACTCATCGAAGTTTAGGACTGCGTCAGCCTGCATTCGAACTCCGACTACTTGTGTGGTTGGTGAGTATTCTACCCTTGAACCACCGAAATGGAGATGAATAGTCGGATTTCTGTTTGCAATAAAAGTATCATAAGTGAATTAAGCATGTCAGAGATTAAACAGATGCATAAGTCGGTTCATTGTACATGGATAAAAGTATAGCCGTTGATAATGACGGTAAACAATGAAATAAATCTAGATAGATAAGGTAAGAGATGATCCCAAACTATACTGATCGAAATCAATAAGCTGGCTCTAGGCTTACATATCAAAGGGAACTAACCAATACACTATGTTTCATCTAGATCCAGGGTACTTCTTATTATGGCAAATTCATTTCAGGATATTAAGCATTTTGTCGATAAATTCTGTGACTTGCAGTGATTTATTAGTAAATATTATATCATCCTTATACTGTTCAACTTTTAAAGTCAATTCAATTTCACACTTCCCTCTGTAGATAGATTCACAATAAGAAGGGTTGGAAAATAAAGAGTATGGCATCTTATATATAACCTGCATTACCCCATTTATAAAAACTGTATATACCCTTTTCAGTAGGCTGAAGGATTTTATGATGTAAACAAGAAGTTATTCATATTTATCTTCTTCTCATATTCTATTTGTCATTATTGATTGCGTGTTTCAAGGAAATAAATCAATATTAGAATAATGCTAAATTTTTATTTTATTTTTTCTTCGTTATAATTATTATGGTTATTATTATTATCATTATTATTACTAAAAATAATGATCTATTTCTTTTCCGCCAACTAGATGAATTATCATAGATATTTTAATTCTTTAATTACTATTCATGGTAGGCGAATAAACTGAAGAATATGGATTTTTGTCGGATAGAGGGTTATATCATGCACTGATACCTTCCAACTTTTGTCGACTACATATGAGATATGAATGTTACTAACAAAAAGTATACTGAATTTCATCATGAGCTGACATTAGTTAGAGAACCATTGGAAAACCTGGGAGTACTGGACAGCTGTTTCACCCCTCCTAGTTTGGGACTCTTCAGCAGTACGCACCCGCCGAGATTCAAACCCAGGACCTTCTGATTACAAGGCGAGCTCGTATACCTTTAAGCCACTGGGACCCGATCCAATGGCCCATGAATTCTAACTTCTGTCAATTCACGAGTCCCGGTGGGTGCGTACTATGAAGAGTCCCCAAACTAGGACGAAACAGCTGTCCAGTACTCCCAGGTTTTCCAATGGTTCTTTAACTATTGTCAGCTCATGATGAAATCCTGTAACCAATCAAATCCCTAAATACGAACACTTGAAAAAGTATGCTGTCTTTCGACACTAAATTACTGTTCACCAGGGTCCCACTTACAGAAACTGTCTGCCTTATATGAGAAAAGTACATAGATGACAACCAGCTCGCCATTGGAATACCAACAACATGTCTGAAAGAGCTGCTACTGATATGTACTCACAAAGTACAATTTACTTTCAATGACACCATCTACAGAGAAAAGGGTGGTATTGTAATGGGATCTTCCTTGGGTCCATTACTAGTAGACTACTTCATGCTTGGCCTAAGGAATGACCAACTCAAGTCTTCCATTGACAATTCGCTATTGTACAAACGATACGTGGATGATATTTTCGTCATTTACGACCAAAATCAGTTGCTAAAAATATTCGACAGCTTCCATTCGGCAGTAAAATTCAGTCTAGAAATGTAATACGAATCCAAAATTCCCTTTCTTGATGTGCAACCAACAATACCACCTGACGGAACCTTAAGAAGGTCAATTGATAGAAAACCCACTTGGAACGGTCAACTAACAAGTTTCCCCAGTTGGAAACCTATTGAGAAGAAACGAAATCTGATTAAATCTCTTGCCACTTGGATCCGACGAAACTGTAGTCCCGATGCCTTGGTAGCATCACTGTATCTTCAGAAAGAAACCGCCAAGATTCATCGACAGGAATATCGAACCACAGGGCCAGAGGAAAGAAACATCCCTTGTTTCAAAAAAGGTACTTTATGTGAGTCTGGATTTCAAGGGATATTTTCAAGAGAAGAATTTCAGTATCTTTGAAAAGAACAT